ACTTAAAAAAGTTCCAGATCTATACTTGTGCTCTTATTATTTCAGTTATTTTGCCTTTAATGTAAATAAACATGTGCAAACAATATACTTGCTCTTGTGAATTTATTTGGATGTTAATTACATTGTGCGAGCTGTCTCTTTAATACCGCGTGGATTATATACATGTTGCTGCTGATTGGGCTGACATGTTTGACACACCCACCAAACAAGAGAAAACGCATCTCAAACCCCGTTGCACACCGTTTCCAGGAAACATGTCGTTCAAACCGGAAACCGTATAGCAAAACGGTGCACACCGGTTTGAGCTTGAACTTGCCCCTGGTTAAACAGAATACGGAAGTCTGTTGTGCATAAACCCCAATAGGGATTTCCTGAAACGACGTGCATTTCCTTTCTTCTGCGGAACAGAGTTGGAGTTTCAGCACGAGAGCACCCTCTGGCCTTCAGATGTAGCAGTATTTACTACTAATCACAGAACTGTGCTTCACTGACCAGCTGCACATGTAAAAAATCACAGCCTTTGCCAAATCGCGACTGCAGTTTAATAATCATGCAGCCCTAGTCTTAAGAGAATGTGAACAGTTTGGAAAGAAATAGGATTTGGAGCAATAGGATCCCAGCAGCCTAATACAGTAAACCTGCAGCTGTCTGTCAAACAACAAAAGAAAAAGAGAAAATCACTCACTGCTCTTGACTGACTAACCTTTGTAGCTTTATGAATCAATGTATATTAATTCATTTGAAGACTATGCAGTGTTTTAGTTTTACATTTGATTATTCAGTTTCTATATTGTTTTCTGAATGCTACTGTTAAATATATCTAATGTACGCCTGACTGAAAGTTAAAGCACTGTTTATTTCATTTGTATCTTTGTTTCTTAGTTTTTTTTCGATTTATGACTGCTTTTTATGTAACGCTAAAACACTGCTGATCACTTTCAGACGTTGTAGTGATGCTTTCTTTTCCAAGAAAGAATGTGAAACATATACGTTGGTTATATCATTTTTAGTTTTTAAATATTTTTTAAATATAATTTAAATTGATTTCACACACTTAAAGCAATATCGTATTGCATATCCAATACCGCATTTTTCTTCAATATCGCACAGCACTATTCTCCACTGTCCTATAGGTGACTTTTCTGATCTGTGTATTTAATTTACAGTCTTTAACTCATTACAACTTTGCACGCATATCAGCGCTGTGTAACATGCAATGATGAATGCTGCATTTTCCTGGTGCCATTTGTTTTATTTGTGCCTTGTGGTTAAAGGTGTCCATAATGTTAAATATGATTAAATATCATTAGGACCCGAGCACCGCGGTGCAAGGACCCTCTTGGAATCGCTCCTTTTATTAGGACCCGAGCACCGTGGTCTGAGGAACCTCTTGGAATTGCTCCGTTTATTATTGGGGCACAGGGCCCTATTGTTCCCCTAAGGTTTAGGGCCCAAGCCCTGAAAGGGTGAAGTCTCTTGAAGCAAAATTCGAAACTCAACAGGAAGTCAGTTATTTTACATTTTCTCAGCAAATTGTGTGTTGTTTTTGCCATTTTCAGGCATTGTATTTTAAAAACTTCTAGAGATTTAATCAGATCAACACCAAATTTGGTCAGTGTAATCTAAAGCCGTTGATGTTAAATTTGAGAAGATCTTGAGTTTTCATTGAAGGGTATGTCCGTGGACGTCTGACAAATTTCGATGTTTCACCATGAAACAGGAAGTTGTTATAACTCAGGCATACAGTGTCTGATCTGCCCCAAACTTCACATGTTTGATAGGAGTCATGTCCTGAACACATGCCCATGCCCATATTCAGTTATAGTGTCAGACTTATAACATAAGTGTTATAGCGCCATCCGCTGGCAACAGGACGTGACATGTTTTACTCTGTAACAAACTCCTAGAGATTTAATAACATCAACACTATATTTGGTCAGTCTAATCTAAAGGCCTTTTGCAATGTTAAATTGCGAAGATCTTGAGTTTTCATTAAAGGGTGTGTCTGTGGCGGCCTGACAAATTTCGATGTTCAATTTTCGATGTGGCCTGAAGACATCTACATCTCAATATTCAGCAGTAATCACAGCGCCACCAGCTGGCAGCAGGAAGTTTGGAACATAGAAAAACAACGAATGGTGGGCAATGTGCATTTATAAGGACACCAGGTGGAGGTGGTTCCGGGTGCAAGGGCCCTTTCAATGCTGCTTGCAGCTTTAAGTGTTGTATTTATTCTATTCTGAACATACTTGGTGTACTTGCATTAAAGTCCACAGACTAGTTCAGCAGTGCCATTTCACTTTTGTCAGCTAATGCAATGTAAAGCATTGTGATTTTAACATAAAACACAGAAGAAGCCTATTAGACTTCAGTCAATGAGTCACTGTTGCTACCCTTTTTTATGGGTAGATTAAATTAAGCGGAACACTGGTACGATCCTAGAGTTCAGACAGGATTCACATCATATGACTGACAAAATAAGGAAAACGATTCCACACTGAAATTAACACATCATATTCACAATTTTATTTTGGTACTAAACCGACAAATTGATCTTAAGGTATTCAGTGGTGTACCACACATCTGTGAGGCCCCCTGCAAAACACTACATAAAACACATATGTTGAAACCATCACTCATTTTCTCAAAACCTTAAACACAAATCCAAACCTTCAAACTAAATTCACAGAAACCCTGACTCTTCTGGCAAAATCAAAGAATCACTTCAAAACATTTCACCTGTACTCAAAATCAAACAAAGCTTTCAAATCATACACACATTAGTCAATAATATTCACACTACAGATCATTCATTAGACACTACATCAAAAAATGGAGAACACCGTGTCCAGTGCATGTAGTTACAAAAAAAACTGTTTATTGTATATAGTAAACATTTAGCAATAAACACACACACACAAACATACAAAAGAAATCACACCTAAGTTGTGTGTGTATATATATATATATATATATACACACACACACACACACACACACACATTTATCTATACCAAATAAATATAGAATATAGCAAATAAATAATCTCAAACCTACCCCATCTGAGGGATGTCCCCTTAAAATATCATTTAAAACCACACTGTGTATTGTAAATAATATAATGATATATACTTACAATGCATTTTATTTTGCCCCGTTTGCATTTGTACTGTATTGTTTTAATACTTTTATTTCACAATTATTTTTAAGTTTAGAAACATTTTGTAGCCTGCTAAGAGACAACGTTATCGGGAAAAGCACCCTTGATCACTTTCAATTTTGACAACGATCTTTCAGCAGTTGCAACCGTTACAAGTAAAGTTAGAAACAACTTGAGAGCTGTTGCAATATCGGGGAACACTGGGCAGGACAGAGTGGTGTTTAAAAGATAACAGCTGTGCAAGATCTGCAGTGGAGCCACACTCAATCTCCTGTATTTTGGACATCATGGCATTTCTGAACGATGCAAAATCTGGGGACAAGTCGTCGGTGTACTGAACTGCTAAAGCATTTGCCATTTGACACAGCAGCAGACCAGGGCATAAAAACATAGTTTGCATCATCAAGGTGTAGCTGTACTGAATTTGGTATTTTAATGTGTTAATGCAATAAGCCACGTTAAGCATAATGATAATCTAAAAATGTGCTTCATGTGGTAATATCTAAATGAATTAATTTTATTTTAAAAAACGTTAAAGTTAATTGACATTATAAATAAATTTAGTTTTGTTGGTGTAACCTAATATAAGGGTAAGAACAGGAAAAAAAGTTTTCTGGGGCCCACCACAGGCGTGGGGGTCCCGTATGCCACTGAAGGTATTCACTATGACTGGAGCCATATTATTTACCATTTTCACACAATATCTCTGTAAATCTTATCTCCATTTATATAGGCCTGAACCACCTCCCTCTTGCATGTTACCTAACTTAAGTGTCATACGATTCTAGAAAACGCTTAGAATGTGTCGTCAAAGCATACACTGCATTATTATGACATTTAGTGGTTATTCACGGTACTTCAACCGCGTCCAGTTGTGCAAAATTTCGAGGTATGAATGTGATATATAAGTTGCATCGGCCATTTCACTTGCTACATTCTGAAATGATTTTAATTATACATTGATTCTAATTATACTGAGAATCTGAGGTCTATTTTTTTTGTCCTCAATAATATACTAGCTAATTACACCACTTAAAAAGCGGGCATCCATACTCAAAACCTACTTGGCATGTTATAAGCAGGTGCTCAGGGAAGTGACCTCCAGATATAAAGAAACGCCTGATGGACAGGAAAGTCCAGCTCAAGACAAACCCTTTTCCCAGCTCTGGGAAAATCAATTGACAGATGTTTCTCTGGGCTCATGTCCAGAGGAGACTGAGAAAGAGAGAGAGACTGTTAGATGTTCTCAGAGTTCTTTGGTGAGTACAATTGTCTCTTGAGATTTCTCAGTACAAGTCTCATGACTGCTATGAGAAAAGAAGCAAATCATTTTTGGGGCCACTATCATTTTCACTTTGGCCAGCCAATACGTATTTAGACACTACCTAAGCCACTTAAAAATCCATGAATCTGCAAAGAAATGGCAGGACCCACTGGAGCTTTTCTCAGAATTACCTTGACTTTCCAAACCATTTTTGCGAAGAACCAGCTAATGTCAGTGATTTTAGTGGATGCATGAAGTTCGTTCACACAGGTGTTGTTTTGTCTGGTTTTTATTTTTTATTTTTTATTTTGCTGTCCTCACTCACAGTGAATGGCACTTTGTTTCATGTTTTGTAATGCAATTCCTTCGTACGTTTTGAAGAGTAGGCGTAGTGTCCAATTACTGGTACCATCCACAGTAAACAATACGCTTTCGATTTTCCCTCGAATAGACAAGTTATTATATTTGATTGAGCGCGGCGAGTAATGAAAGCTTATCAAGAAACCAGTTTATTCTCCCAGGCAGAGGACTCTCTGTCGTGTCTCTCTAGCGCCTCCTCTCTTGATCAGGCCGCTATAGAAACGGCAGGTCTCTTCGTGCGCTCAGTGAGCGACTGCAGCTGGAGGAGAGACAATAACAGCGACGCGTGCACAGGTACGTAAAACCTGCCAAAGCTGCCTTTAAATGCGATTTATTAATGTGTCCGCTGGTTTTTGTGCACTATATTCGAAGGTGATTTGTATCAAACATGAAACATGCGTCCCCTAGTTGTAAATTTTAATCGGCGCTGCATGTCATGTTAAATCGGGCCTGCGCTGCTTACGTATTAATAAACCAATGCCCTGTATATAGAATATGCTCGAATACGGACTCGCTTATTGGGGGACAAAAAAAGCTAGGTCTCATATGAAAAATACGTGAGTGACTAACAAGATTATTCAAAATGAACCAGGCATACATGTAACGGTATTTATGGGAGTTTTCACCAAATACCCACATTTTAACGTGGTCGTTTTCAAGATTAAACCCACAGACGTGCATACCTTATTCCTGTATGTTTCCTTTATTTCTTATCAGCTGAATGCAAATTGCGAGAGCTGTTGCGTTCAATGTGTCATTTTAATACCAGCTAAAAAAAAATCCTGCTGCACTGACTGCGATGCCCTCGATTAATGCGACTAATTCCATATAAAAAGGAATAATGTATCTTAAAAATCTGAATATGTCTGTGAGTTCAAGCTCATTGTAAATCGATTTTGCTTGAAGGATGCTTTGTTGGAACGCACCTCCTCCCTCCACCTCTAAAGAACAGAGATGCGGCCATGATTCCAGCTCTTCACGTCGTCTGACTGTTCACGGGTGTCTGAATTCAGCCCTCACTGTGTCTCTGTGTCTGATATCACGCTTGTGGCGGAATCCTGTAGAAATTATCGACGACTCATTTTTATTACAAGTCGTGGTTACGCTTCATCGCTGACCGAATGCTGATTCGGTGTTCTAATAATGGCATGCAACGCCTTTCTTCAACGACAGTGTAGTTGTTTAATCATGGGGATGCATAATTTTATTGAGTAACCAGAATTATTCTTCATATGTTCACCGCGCTTCGCATATGCGGTCGTTTTGGTAGCGGAACGTTCAGTATATTATCACTGTGTTACATTGCATCCCTGTGGACTGTAATCCGGTTGGAACGCACCTCCTCCCTCCACCTCTAAAGAACAGAGATGCGGCCATGATTCCAGCTCTTCATGTCGTCTGACTCTGTTCACGGGTGTCTGAATTCAGCCCTCACTGTCTCTCTGTGTCTGATATCACGCTTGTGGCGGAATCCTGTAGAAATGATCGACGACTCATTTTTATTACAAGTCGTGGTTACGCTTCATCGCTGACCGAATGCTGATTCGGTGTTCTAATAATGGCATGCAACGCCTTTCTTCAACGACAGTGTAGTTGTTTAATCATGGGGATGCATAATTTTATTGAGTAACCAGAATTATTCTTCATATGTTCACCGCGCTTCGCATATGCGGTCGTTTTGGTAGCGGAACGTTCAGTATATTATCACTGTGTTACATTGCATCCCTGTGGACTGTAATCCGGTTTAAAATGGGGGTTGAGTTGAGGATTTTTTGAATTGCCTGCAAACGCTTCTCTGGTTGTGCTACTGGGTTGCCTCGCCTTTTTTCTCGTTAATTACAGTTGACGTTTTCTATCGATTAGGCTACGTGAATTTGTGCTATGAGACTGTATTGATGTGACTGATTCTGGATTACAGACTAGATCCAAGTAACCAGACATGCCCTCTGAAAATATCCTGTAAAGAGCCCTGTAGGGTGTCTCCAGAGGCATATGCACATATTCTATTCTATTCTATTCTATTCTGTTCTATTCTGTTCTATTCTTAATTTTATTATTATTATTATTTTAATAAACCAAGGAAATGTCCAACTGACATTCTGAAATTGTCAATGACCACCATGCACTTTTGTTGTATGGAAAAGAACAACTGTGGCATTTTCATTATATATATATATATATATATATATAAATCCACACTAAAATTGTCAAATCTAATTCATAAAGTGTTAAGTTAATTGAACCAACCAATTGGGGGTATTTCCAAACACACTGATGGGGAATTTTGGCAGAAGCCATTACTACAGAATATGTAGAATCATAAACATTGCAAACCAGTGAATCAAAAAATGTAAATGTACTTATATAATTAGATGTGTATTTTTTTTATTATTAATTAAAAAAAAATATATATATAGGTTATTTCTGTCCTTATCACATTGCAATGATTGCTGTCTGTGCTATTTGTGCAAACATGTCTATTGCAAACAACAACAACAACAACAACAAAAAAAAGATAAACTGTTTAGCTGCAGCATTATAAATATTAGCAATGTGAGCTTATTATTTTCAGTGGTCCCTAAGCTGCACGAAAGCATCTGAGCAATTTGTTGTGGTTTAGTGATATGGGCAGGCATACAAAGACCATAAAATCTCTGACGTAATGCCATATGAAGTCTCTCATGTGTTTAATTGGCATGGTACTGACAGAGGGGTTTAGTTTGCTGCAACACCAGTCTCCTCAGACTAACTGGCATGAGAGGGTGTGATTGGGATTTCTGCCACAGACCTAGTGGTTTGTGTAATTTGAGGTGAATTTGCAGCTGTAGAGACTTAGGCCATTAGCTCTCTGACAGAAGCGTGATGAGCAGAATTCCATGTCTACATGCATCCACATGGTCCTTTGCCCTGAGAACTTAAGCATGACTGTTCTGGAATGCTGTTAGCCATGATCTGAAGCATATGCAATGTGGGATACAAAAGTTTGAGACTACCAAAATAGAAGATAGAAACATTTTTATTAGTAATTTAATGATAGCAATTATATAGTCATAAGTATATAGATGAATTGAAAAATTAATAGTGATTTCAGAATTCAGTATTTGGTTTGTCCTCTTTTTACTTTAATGAAAGCAGCACTCAAGCTGCATGAATTCCACAAGTTGGTGCAAAACCTGATGATCCATCTTATACTGCGTGACAAGATCATTTTGTAAGCTGAATATTTCTTGTTTTACATAATTATTTGTATAGTGCTGTTCACAATACACTTTCTTATTTTAAAGCAGCATGATATTAATGTTTATAATATCATAATATCTTCATGCCTTATAGTCACATTTTGCAAATTAGAGCTGGCCTATAATATAATTTACACATTGCAATCATACAAGCACTTGAGATTTGCTATCTCTTAGTATATAATATATCACTTTATGTGAGTATACTATTTGTATGCAGATACAGTTGGATATACTATATATCCAACTTTATTTATGAAAATAATTAAAAAATAATCCTTTGTTATATAAAAGTTCCAGACTGTATGTATGTATATATATATATATATATATATATGAAAATTATGTGAATATAATATATGAATATTACATATTTTTGCATAATTAAGTATTACATGATGGGGATGGGCTGCAATAATAAAAGACATTTAACATACAGTACATCATTTTCTAAAATGAATATTTGTTTTTCCACCACAGTACAGTAGAATCATTCTACACCCAGTTCATAAGGGAGTGACTCATCATAAGAATCATTTCACATAGTGGGATAATAGAAGTTGCTTATGTCATCACAGCACTCAGAATGCATTTTGTGGCGTCAGATTTACAGTCTGTATTCTTGACATCTAATCCAGCATCATGGTCTACATAGACTGCAATTATGATCTGGTGCATTTCATATTTAAGTCGTTGTGAAGGAGCCTGTTATGGGACTGTTTAAATTGGAACATAACTGGCCCTGTCCGAAAGGAGGTGGGGATCGAGAGCAGAGAGAAAACATTAGAGAGGAGTAACTTCATAGTGATGCGGAGCAAATTTAGGTCAGGGATACGAGGGTAGTCAACCGTGATGAGAGCATCACAGACATTCAGCTTTTCTAAAGCACAAGCCCAGTGTGTGCCAATGGAGAGCGGCGTTTTTCAGTTTGGTGCCAGATAAACAAGCAAATAACACCTAAGAAAATATATTCAGATTTTTCCTGCTGCCATCCATGGATTTATCTTCTAATTCCAACCAAGCCGTTTTTGACATAGTCTGATTACATTATGCCTGGTTACATAACAGATAATACCTGTTGGTGTACACACACATGATTTATTTTATTAGAAGTTATGTAGGTTGTCTGCCTACTGGGCCTCAGTGCAGGCCGTAACCACCATTGACAATAATTAGAAATGACCAACTTATCCTCCGCAATATATGATATAATATGTGATGCTGCTCTGTTTATTGTTGGGAAGGGATGACAAAATATTTCAGGATTTTTTAGACAAAACCTGTGTTACATTTTTAGGCTGGTCTGCCTCAGCAGTCTAACAGCGCTCGTCAATGTCAAAATAATCAAGATGACCAGTCAAATCAAAGAAGGCTGTTCACGTTCTGAACATGAATTCAATGTTCTAGTTTGCTTCAGTTTTTAAAAGTGTGAGGTAAGATGTAATTAGCCCAACATTTAATATTTGACTACTGTTTTATGACAGAAGTGTGAAATGACTGAGAGTAATATCCAGTGATGTTTGTCATCCAATGGTGTCACCGTTTTGAATAGAATATATAGGTATGATGAGACAAGAAATATTTTTGAACATATTAGGCATGCAAATAAGAGTGAGTTTGTGCGTATTTTAAAATAAAAATATTATTTGCTGATAGTTCAAATTGATTAATTTACAAAAAAAAAAACATTCATGTTTTTTAACGGTTAAAAGACTTTTTATTCTCTTATTTCTTTATTCCCTTAAATCCATTTAAATAATTTAATTATTTAATTCCTTTAGATGCAAGAACCCAAAATGGTTACAGCCTTGCCTCAGTGTATCATTGTATGTATATCTTTGCAATATACAAGACTGAAAGATTGAATCACTATTTTCGATGTTGACTAGATTGATTGGTGTTAGAAGCACAGTTTAAATGTCCTGCAAAACAACAAGTACCACACACGCTGACAAGAACAGCTTAAAAATTCCAGAAGTTTGTTGACATCCTGTCAGTGTAACAGTGGGAGCTTTGTTTCGTGAGACGTCTTGACACTCCATGAGAAGAATCAAA